GTTGAGGGTTTAGGGTTTTGGTTGAGGGTTTAGGGTTTAGGGTTTAGGGCATCAGATCCCTAAACCCTAAACCCCAAAACCCTAAACCCACCCAAAATCCTAAACCCCGAGATAAAAACACGACGGGCAAGGGCTTGAGGGCTTTGGAATTCAGGTCTTATGATCGCATCTCCCTAAGCCCGGCACGGGTGTAATATAGGGCCCTAATAATTAGAATAGGGTTTTGGGGCCCATTATACTATAATTATAACAAGGAACCCCCGAAATAGTATAGGCAATTATTAAGGCCCCCTAGTTATTAAACACTAAAACCCTAAACCCTAAAAGCCCTAAGCTCTAAACTCTAAACCCTAAAAACCATAAACCCTGAACCCTAAAAATCCTAAGCCCTAAACCCTATGTTACTAAAGTGGAGACCAGGCCAAGCGACGTAAAGGGCCGCTCCAAAGAATAGCCAAGTTGGTGCCAAACCTTGGGTTTAAGGCTTAGGGATCCTTGGGTCGGTTTAGGGATCCTCAGGGTTTAGGGATCCTTTGGGTTTAGGGATCCTTTGGGATCCTCAGGGTTTAGGGATGCTTTGGGGTTCTTTGGGTTTGGGGATCCTTTGGGATCCTCAGGGTTTAGGGATCCTCCGGGTTTAGGGATCCTCTGGGTTTAATCAATCCTTTGGGTTTAGGGATCCTTTGGGATCCTCAGGGTTTAGGGATCCTTTGGGTTTAGGGATCCTTTGGGTTTAGGGATCCTTTGGGTTTAGGGCTTCTTGGGTGTTTGGGTTGTTTTATGCTCAGGGTCAGGGCAGGAAAGAGCCATTGTTTCCAGGCAGAATGTAGTGTTTGGCTTAGCATTTGCATTGCACGGAATGGTTATCCTTGCTGGCGCGAGTGTTCGCTTGGCTATTGTCGGGTGTACCATTTGGGACGTCGTTGGATGAGGATTGCCGGCTTGCAGGCACTTGGAACCAGAGTGGCTCGGGCGCTAACGAGGCCAAACAGGACCGAGGCATGGATGTTGGTCTGGGAGTATGCAGATAAGATGTCAGGCATTTCAGTCATCGGTGTCGCCGTCAAAGGTGTCTGAAAGGCTGCGTTGGCCAAAACAACCTGTAGCGAACCCTCAACCATAGCCTCTAGACCCCAACCCTGAACATGTTGCTAAACGTTGATGCTTGAGGCAGAGTTCGAGAAACGCGCCTTGTGAAAATCAGCTTGATAGGGACATACTGATGACGACGACGACGACGCAGACGACGACGCCGACGACGCCGACGACGACGACCACGACGACAACGATGACGACGACTACGACGACTACGACGACGACGACGACGGCGACGACCACCACTACTACTACTACTACTACTACTACTACTAGTACTACTAGTATTACTAGTACTACTAGTACTACTAGTACTACTAGTACTACTAGTACTACTAGTACTATTAGTACTACTACTACTACTACTATT